AAAATGTGGATGCTGCACAACTAAAGCACTTGTCAAGGGAAGAGTTGGTGAGTTATTTTAAGAATGAGATGGCAAAAATGAAGAGAAACCATGACTACAAAGTACAAGAGATGACTGAAGACTATTATAGCCTCAGGAGGGAATTCTTGAATTTGAAGGAAAGGGGTCCTTCTTTACCATTGAGGAAGGATAAGGATTTTGATATCTTGAGAAAAAAGATCCCTGAAGTCATCTTGAAGTTGGACAACATTCTTGTCCCAAATGAAAAATTACCTGCGTTCGGTAATAATGCTGATGGTATTGACTGCTTGAGGGACAGATTGGAATCTCTTCTTTTAGAAAACCGCCAACTGAGAGACTTACTTGCTGACAAGGAGGGAGAAGTTAATCACCTCTCTCCACAGGTTTCTGATGCAGTGGAGAAGTCACAGCAATCTTTAACTGAGGCAGACTTGCTGAAGAGGATTGAAAATCTTGAATGTGCTGTTGAAGAGGCTAGTCTTCAAGCATCAGTCAACGAAGATGTATATAAATGCCTTCTAAAGGAAGTGACGGGACAGATTGAATGCATCAGTGAAGTGACCAGTGTGGAGCATGATATCATGAAAGAAATCTACTACATTGTATTCAGAGATGCTGCATGCAATGCTGTGCTTTGCATGAAATGTGAACTTGAAGATTCAGATTTGGCATCTATTGTTGAAGAAGAGGTGTATGCAATCATGTTCAAAGAAGCTAGGAAGAAACTTGGTGACCTAAACATGAAAGAAAGAGCACTGAAATTAGAAAATGAAAAATTAAAGCAAGATATCCTAATTCTGGAAACATCTCTTGATGGAAAAGAGAAGTTACTGCAGGAAACAGCTGGTGATTTGGAAAAGGAGAAGAATCAATTTGAGTTGGTTTCTAGAGAACTTCATGAGTTAAGGTCTCAGATAAAGCAGCAACAAATATTAATTTCAGAGTGCAATGAAGAATCAAATTCTATGAAGTCTGATTTGCTTGAGGCATTGGAGCAAATTGAATGTGATGAGGTGCAGGTTAATGAGCTTCTTGCTATTACCCAGGATCAGAAGAATTCTTTGTCATTGATTGCAACAAGGGAAAGGGAAAACAGAAAGCAAATGGAATCTGTAATCACTCTTGTTCATGGTCTGTCAAAGGCAATTTCTGATGTTGAATATAGGATGGCAGGGGATTTTGAAAGGAGTAATTTCAGGTACCTACTGTATTATGTTACTCTTTATTCTTTTCTCTAGATAAATCATCTTTTAGTAAAATTATAAAATGTTATTAAGTGGTTCTTAGCAGTGATTAAAATTTAAAATGTTATTGAGGTATTGTTTGGGCTTGCTTTCACAGTACTTTTTCCACAGTCATGGCACTGCACAACAATGTCAAACGGCCCCTAAGTCATTAATAATTTTTCTATTTGCCTTAGGCTCTACTCTATGCATTTCTCTCTGGTCAGTTAACTGACTTTGTGGCTTTAATACGTTCTAAATTGCTAGCTTCATCGTACCTGTTTCTTTTTTCATTCAAGTCTTTTTTTTCCCCCTTTTTTTTTTCTTTTTTGATATTCTGTGTTTAAGGTTTTTTCTATATTGACATCAATCTTGGAAGTTTAAAGTGATTTTTTGGCTGAGTTTATCAATTTGCAAACCATAATATGCATTTAATTTCTTTTCAGGTTAGAAAATTTGGGAACCCAATTAAGTTCTCTTAACCAGAAAGCTAAAAATTTTAAGATATTGGAATTACAGTATAAGAAGAAGCTCGAAAAGAGGTGCTGTGACCTTCAAAAGGCTGAAGCTGAGGTATGGAATGAAGTTTATATTAATCAGATTTAGTAGATGTTTATATACTTGAATTTTGTGTTATGGTCTTACTGTCCTCTTTATGATTTAATAAAATGCGTGTGGAAGGCATACATAATGATTGGCTCTGTTCATTTGATATCATATGGAATATCTTGTGTCTTCTCTAATGGAACTACAACTCATCATGTTTGAATCTCTTTCTTTCTCCTCTCTCTTGATCACTCATACCTAGAAGCATGCCACAAGGGTGAGGCCATGAACCAATTTTGCATTTATATAGAGTTGTAAGGGTAAAAGTTGCTTGGCAGATGATTTTCTGAGACTGTTTGATAGGCAGTAAGTAATACATTGATTATATGTTATGCCTTTTAAGTATTAGGGTCAGAATTCTCTTAAATCGTCAACTTCTGTTTTGCTGGAATTTATAAAGCAATTGATTCATGGCATCTTTCTTGATAATTTAGAAGTGGTGGCCTGTTCATTGTTTGTATCAATTAACACACTGGGGATGGAAGAAAAAATATATACTAACCAAAACTGGAAGAGGGATAACTACTGGTCCCCTCAATATTATTAGATGGAAAATTCAGAATGCATTAACTAAAAACTTGGTTAACTTGTCACAAAAAGAAACGAAGGAAGTCACAGTGAAAGTATGTATTGACAACTGATGACTTGTGGTTAGTAATTAGTTTTTTTCCTTGTGGGATTCAGCCTCAAAATGAAGTCTAGTTGAAGTGTTTAAAGAAAACCTGAGTGAATAGAGATGAAATTGAAAGATATTAAGAAAAAGGAGATGTAGATGAAATGGGTAGAGAGAATTTCCTATTGGAAAAGAATGATTCAAACATGTGAATATAATCATCTTTGATTAATTAGTGCTATTAGTGCCCCAATTAAATGGTAAAAACTTGCCTAGTAAATTTAATGATTCTGCGAAGGCAGAAGAAGTAAGTGATTGATTTCATGATGTTTTTATGGAAGCTGGGCTATTTGACTTAACTGTTATAGATTTGACCCTGACTTGAATAATCTCTGTAAATTTCCTTCTCCTCATGAGCTGATAGAGTCCATCAAAGTAAATAAAGGAATTAACCATATAATCATGTGCAACATCTTTCATCACCTGCTACCACTGTTGAATTGAGATGCCTAAGTATTTTCTAATGTGAAAGTACAAAACGTACCCCTAGAATATATTCATACTGTAAATATGGGGATTGACTTAATATCATTGTTTTGGGATTGACTTGATATCATTTTCTTTAAATAGCTTTTGGATTTTCGAGTTCATAGGTCAGAAAAGCATCATTGATAAGATGGTGGAGAATCATTAATACCATGTGATATTATGTTGCTTTTTGCTATTTATTTAACAATCCTTTTCTTTTAACAGGATTTTCTTCTTGCATTGCAGGTTGATCTCTTAGGTGATGAAGTGGATGTGCTTTTAAGCCTTCTTGAGAAGATTTACATAGCTCTTGATCATTATTCACCAATATTGCGACATTATCCTGGAGTGAGTTCTCTCTCTCTCTCACACACACACACTGAAAGGCTGAGGAATTAAGTTTCTCCATTCCTTTAGATGTGTGGCAATGTGGTATTTATGCTTTCTATGATTGATTGTGCTATATTCTGCTAGTAAGAGTTAGGTTGGAATTTACATGTCTGGTTTTAGAACAATTAATAGGGTTAAGGGGTGAGGAGGTGATTGTGAGGGATGAAAGAAGGTTGAAAAAAGAGAACGAAGAGCTGAGTAAGGTGGGAGAAAAAGGAAAGAAAGCAAAAAAGAGAGGAAAAGAAAAAGAAAAGGAAGGTGAGGGTATAAGCCTCATGGGAGCATGTTACTTTTCATTTTTCTTTTTCTAAATTTTTTATCTGTTTTTATTATTTATTTTAGTGGATGATAGACATAAATTAACTCTAAGGAATCTCCACCTGCAAATGGAATCCATCAAGTGCAAAATCTAAATGGTAACAAACATGT